TTTAATTAAATCAGAGATAAATATAAAAGTTATTAAACTGCATTAAGCACATAAAACAGTAAATATATATTATATTCTCTTACATGACAAAAAGTAAGATCTTTCATTGAAAAATACCAAGGAAAAATCCAGAAAGCCATACAAATAAAGGACTAAATGAACAAGATTATACAGTGGAAAGAAAAACAACTATGTAGTGTATTTTAAAGTGATCATATATTTCATTATTTCAACTAAAAAGAAAGTTTCTTTCCTCTTATTTTATTTTTTTAGCCAATAGAGAAATGACTGGTCAGAATCAAAAGAAAGCCGCTCTGACATCCTATCAATAAAAACTGTTTGATAGGCTGTTTTGCTGTGTATAAGCAACTTAGTTTGTAAACACGGGTTACTCTGAAAGCCTAATGGATTTTTAGACCAATTAAAGACAGGTCTATCTACAAACAAACAAACAAACACCCAGTGTTCCTGAATGTTAAACTTCAAGAACTGATGAAGCAGTATTAAGATTTGCTTTAAATAATAACATTGAGAACATTCAGACTTAATCATACCACATTACTGGACAATGGCAAACCTATCGGTAGAGTATGATGATAAAAATCTAGAAATATTTTCAACTCAGCTTCATAGGAAGAAAGTTAACTTGGTAATAGAAGTAGGTAACACAACCATTTGTTTTGAGGAAAAACTCTGTCGTAAGGCATTCCTTTTGTAAATTTAAGTCTTTCTGCAATTTCTGTAGCTTCCTAAGGATATCACTCACTTTGTTCTCCATGAGTAAAATTTGTAGGTCATCCCCACCCTGTTTCCATCTCTTTTAATTAAGTTTGTAAAATTTTTGCAATCATTCATTCTTCTAAGTGTTCTTTAGCCCTGTAAACTGTGCACCAGTTTTACAATGTATGTGCATTTATTTCTCCTGTGGGGCTTTCTATGCAACATCTTCCTACTTTTTTTCCTTTTTTTTTTTAAGATTTTATTTACTTATTTTTTTTAGAGAGGGAAGGGAGGGAGATAGAGACAGAGAGAGAAACATCAATGTGCAGTTGCTGGGGGTCATGGCCTGCAACCCAGGCATGTGCCCTGACTGGGAATCAAACCTGCGACGCTTTGGTTCACAGCCCGCGCTCAATCCACTGAGCTACGCCAGCCAGGGCTCTACTTTTTTTCCATTCCAAACAATATACCAATCTCCTTTCTTGTAGCACATTGAAAAGAATTTCCTGCTTCACATCGTCAAATGTTACTTAGAGGTGGCTATCTTTATTTTCATTCTTTGGTCAAATTGTGTTTAAAAATATCATCTCAACTTTTAACCATTTTTCTCTGAAAAGTATCACATAAGGACCTAAAGTGAAAAGTATACGAAATAATCTTTTCCATTTTCTTTTCTTTCTGAAACAAAGTGTACAAAATACTATTCGGCACAATTCTTTTGTTCTGGGGAAAAAAAAGTAATCAAGTAAAATGTGTGTGTGTGTGTGTGTGTGTGTGTGTGTGTGTACACGTATATGTGGACTCGGCTTACGATTGTGGCTATTTTCTTCTCCATGAGGTTAGAAGTTCTTTGGGTCCAAAACCTGCCATAATTCAAACTATCACCGACAATGTTTAAGCATGGCATTGGACCCAAACCACATTTTAAATAATGGACAGAATTAGTGGCATTCACATGGGAGCTGTGATTAAGGTACTGAATAAATATAGGGAAGTATGAAAGGATCCAAGAACCTTCTATGAAGCACTAGTCCTTTAAACAAGTTCCCTGATTAGGAAGTAAAATATCGAGACAAACATCTATAAAAAAATAGAACCTTAAGAAAAAGGAATGAGTAAAATCACAAACTTTTGGTATAGACGTATACCAAAATAATTAAAATAATGCTTCTATGTTTAATTGAGTTTCTTTCCCCTCTGTATTCTTAGCCAGCCTTCTCTTTTATAAATCATTATTAATATTTTTACTTGGCATGTTTTTGTTTTACAAAGAGTATAGGCAAGTGGTTATTTTATTTTCCTGTATTAGGTTTTTAAAATAAAAGACCTATTTTGCAAACAAATTCAAAAAATTTGTTGCTCTTCTGGAGAAAAGGATATTCTGCCATGTCTGTCTGTTATTGCCACTGGCATTCTAATAACTTCTTAAAAACAAGAGCCATTTTTATGTCCTGTCATAAGCAATACATCATTCACTTTCAGTGCAATGGAGAGTAATAGAATAATAGAAAAACAACATATGGAAAGTTTAGAACATCAATAGAGAAAAAGATTCTTTTTCACTCACCTGGGGCCTATTTCCAAACACTGAAACCAAATACATATAGCTAGAATTATAAAGAGCAATGAATTTTTCCCCACAAAGAAAGAAACCAGAGGGAAAAAACACAAATAAAAACCTATACACAGAATGTTACTCTTCTTCAGAAAGAAAAAAATATGATACAAACTGGAGTAAAGTTTTCATAATCTTCAAATCAATGGGCAGCCTATTTGTAAAGCCTTCCTTACCTAGCAAGGATGAGTTCCTGTCTAATTAACCTAAAAACTAATTGTAAAATTTCCCACATATAAGAAAATTCATAGTCACTTCAGATAATTATACAACCTCTATTTTCATTTAAAAAGACTTGAGTGAGCATATGATTCACTATATTCTTCTCTATGCCCAGTCAGGCTGTCAATTCAGGTGACCTTCAGTGTCCACAGCAAAAGCTGTCTGAGGATCATGATCAAATGTACAACTTTAAGATACTCTAATTTACTGACACTGAAAGTAAGCCTCCTCCTTTCCCTGAGATGAAAAAATACTGCTCGCATCCCTATCACAGTCAGATGCATAAAGCTAAGATGGCTAATATGGTTAAAAAGCTTTCTGGGAATTAGTACCTACCTACTGCCTACTTACTAAGAGTAGTGAATATATACTTACCCAACCTGGAACACTCAGTTTATTGTGTATTTCTTAAGCAAAGAAATACGTTGTTTTCTTTGCCCTTTATTACTTCCATGTCGATTTCCAGAAAACAAGGATATTTTCTCCTGTAAGCACTGTACAATAATTAAATTCAGGAAATTTAACGTTGGTGCTTTTATGTAACACAGAGTAAATATTTCACTTTTGTTATGGTCTAATAACACCCTTTACAGCATTTTCCTGTAAAGGATCATGCATTTTGCATTTAGTTGCCACGTCTCTTTAATCTCCTTTAATTTGGAATACTTCCTAAGCAAGGATTCCAAATTAAAGACACTGATTTTTCTTTCAAGACACTGATATTTTTGAAAAAATACAGGACAATTATTGTGTTGAATGTGCTTAAACTTATGTTTGTGTTATGTTTCCTCTGAGATTTAGTTCTGTGTCCCTGGCTGGACTAGAACATAGGAGACCTTCCCAGGCAGTACACCTACGAACACATAGGGTCATTTGACTCTACTGGTAACGGTAATTCTGCCTCCCCAATAAAGGTATTGTCAGTTTTCACACAACAGTTACTGTTTTCCCCAATAATCAATCTATGGAGAAACAGGCTGAGAACCATGCAAATACACTGCTCCTCATCAAATTTGGTCCCTGAGATTGAGCGTTCACTAAGTCTTGTCTTAAGCGGTCTTTACTGTCATGGTGATTTTCTGACTCTAACAGTCTCTCCACATTTATCAGTGGGCATTCTACAGAAGAAAGAAGCTCTCATTCATTCGTTTATTCATTCGTCATCACTGCATGAATATATTTATTCCTATTTTATCTCATGGGTTTACTCAGCATTACCATCATTATTTATTTTGATGGTCAAAGCATCCCAAATTTGGTCAGGGGATCCCCTCCAAGCTGGCTCCTACGCCCTTTTGACATTACTCCATTATGTTACTGATCTCTTCCTCACTTTCTAGCACAAGATATTTCAGGCTTGTCTTGCACCTTCCCTGTCCTAACCCTGATATCAGTCATTCCCCCAACCCCCATGGCAGATCTCTTTTAACAGCCTGTACAGGAATAATGTACAGAAACCAACACCTGGGGACCAGGTGTGCTTCATTGCTACTGGAGGCGAGGGCGCCGGGGAGACACTGCTTCTCAGCTTTTCTGCAGCAGACCAAGGACATTTCCTCCCCAGGATTCTGTATCTACAGCTTCAACCCAACTCTACAAGGTTTTCCTCTGTTTGTGTGGAACAGTAAGACTCTTGGCTACCAACACATTTATTCAATTTTACAATATACATAGAACAGTTTCAGAGTTACTACACCACAGTGCATTGCAAAACAGCTTGATAAAAAGAATTTCAACTTCGTGTGAAATTGCCCCTTTTTCCCTTTCTAGAGTTAGGTATAAAGTTCAAGTAGTGTGTTCAAAAGTTACTTGGATTAGTTCTTTATTTCTTTTACCGTGGTTATTTATCCCCCCCCAGATAAAAACCTCTTATTGAAAAATAAAGGCAAAATTTATCTTACATAACATATTAATTCAAGTTTAACTTATTAAACTCTTAATGCAGTTTAGTTATTTGTTCCCTTATAGGCAACAGACAGCGAACTCAGTATTTCTAGAAATAAGCGAGAAACCCAGTAACAGGTTCTGAGAAAACAGTCTGCAGACATCTACACCTATATGCAGGCTTGAGGAAGATAAGGGGAGGCTTAGGGAAGCTTTCCCTGTTGTACATTCTAGCTTGGTGACTGGAGTTAATGCTTCACAGGAATTCCATGCTAACTATATGACTTTAAGCAAAAGCTCAAAAATACATTCAATTCTTAAAGCTTTAAGTATTTGTCACCTAACAGTGCTAGTCATTTACATATCATTGCCTGTGGTAGCCATGTGAAAACACGTGCCTTGAAGAAGCATACTTGTGCTCCACACAGTAAAACACATTGTAAACTGGTATTCTCTGCACCTTTGTGGGGTGGCGGTTTGCAGGAGGACGCTGTCCCTGTAGGGAGAGCCGTGGAGATGAGGACACAGTGCTGTGTGTGACAGCGGACTGCAGGTCACAATGGACAGCAAAAGCCTAAAGGCAGCCGGTGAGGGGCTGCAGTTGAGACCAAGGTGGAGGTTCGGGCAGGACGTGCAGTGGTCTTAATGAAAGACAGACACGGGTAGCAACACGACACTATGGCAGGGCAGCGCCCAGAGCAGCCACATGCTGCCCATGTTCCACGGCTCCATGGGGAAGCTGCAGCGGCAGCTGCGCAAGGGCGAGTTCGCCATGTTCAAGCACAGCCCCATGTTTGAGAGCGACTTCATCCAGATCAGCAAAAGAGGAGAAGTGATCGATGTGCACAACAGTGTGCAAATGGTCACTCTGGGCATCGCATACACCAGTCCCAACCTTGTAATACCTGATGTCATGCTGCTGGCACGACCTGCTGTCAGCTGCACAATCGATGCCAAGCCTGACCTACACACCCAGGGAAGGGCACTCAAGTCAGCCAAGAGCTTGGAGCTGACCAGGCTGCTTCCTCTGAAGTTTGTAAAGTTGTCTGTCTACAGTCATGAGAACAAACAGCTCCACTTGAAGCTGGCCACTGGCCTCTCCTTTTACCTACAATTATGCCCTGCTTTAGATGCAAAAGGAGATCTGTTTGCACACTGGGAAGACCTGGTGTTCTCCCTGAGACCGCCCGTGGAGGCTTACAGCAGTACCCACGCCGTACCGGCTTGTGGCATGATGGACCTGCCTGGGTTGGAGGCAGAGGACAGGAAGAGCCCAGAGGTAAGTTTTTGCAGAGACAGAGAGGGGATGCAAGTGCTTCAGGAGAATAACCGGAAGCTCTCAGGCTGCCCCCCAGGCTGACCTCAGGCTGCCCTGCTAGGCTGATGGGGGGAAACACTGCATGTGGGAGGGCTCAGGCCAGATGAGCCCCTGTGTGGAGGCCCTGACACTGGGGAGGCCCTGAGTGCTTCTGCATATCCGAGGTCCCTTAGACGTCAGTTCCTCTGACCTCATACCTGATGTTGCAGAGCTGTCCCAGCATCCTCACCGTCCAGTCTGTTTTGGAACACTTGCCTGCTACCGTGGACTCAGGCAGTCTGACCTGTTGTAGGACCCCTTTAACGAGAAAGCCCTTCCGTTATCTGAGTCACGAACTGATTTTTGCATAAAGCTGTGGCACTGCAGCATGCTTTGCACATAGGCGCACAATATTAGTAACTATCGGAATGTAAAACAGACATGGCTTATTGCCGAGCAGGCTCCCTCTAGGGGTCTCTGCCCTAGCTCCCTAAAGGGAGATTGTATGCAGAGCTTTATGCACTCTGCTGAGACAACTGCATACGGCACAAGCACACTGGGGCCTCCCCGGCACTGGAGCTGTCCCAGCGAAGCTGCAGTGACCCTTGTGGGTGTGCCGCAGGGGGGTTCCTGCATCCACTGGGAGACTGCACTTGGTGACTTTAACGGCTCTTCTATCGATAAGCTCTTGAAGACCAGTGGCAGTCCGTTCTAGTCTCATTCATTTTCTTCTCTACTTCCCCGTTTCTCCTTTCCTCACAGGCCATGGAGCTCCATGGAGAAGGGGACCAAGACCAAGTCAGTGTCAGAAGCCTTCCCATGGTCGCTGAGGTGTCTGGGGCCACCTCTCTTGCTCATGCTGGTGGGGAAGGAGTCCAACAACATGTTTCACGCAAATACTCTGTGCTCAGCGTGAGCGTGGATGCAGGAGAGGAGACGGCCAGCAGCCCTGTAACAGAAACCGTGGAAGGTCACGGAGACGGACTCTTCCTGTCAGCCTGACTGAGAGAAGGCAATATAAGTGATCAGAATGGAGGCCAGAGAGTCTCCCAACACCAGGCTGATGCCCTTAGGAAGGGAAAGGAAAAGGAGAAAACTCCCACCAAAAGGCTCTCCCATTCCGGCCGGAAGTGGCAGGGCAAGCCGATCCCAGGATCTCTGGAACCACTCGGGGACAGAACGGGAGAACCACCAGAGCAGCCCAGGTACCCGAGGACATGGCTCCACCCCCCAGGAACACAACAGCCTTGGTGTCACCCGAAAGGGGTCTAGATTATCTCAAAAATCAAGGAGGAGCTGATCTAGAGCTAGTTCTGGGGGTGGGAGCATAATCCAGAGATCTCTTCCCTCGCCGCTGCCCATTCTGCAGATCTCCCAAGACTACTAGGAGGGAACACTCTAGTCATTCACGGAACCTGTGGGTATCAACTAGAATGGATCTCCAATGTTATGATCCACCCATCCATTTTAGGATGGGGAAACAATGCCTGCTACATGCTTTAAAAATAAAGAATTTATAAATTGGCCTGTTATGGGCTCAAAGAAATTCCATTTTGGCTCCCTTCTTCCTGAGCTAAGTTGAAGTGGGCACTGATTCCTAGTACATGCCTGTGTTATTTGGGCAAGAACATCAAGATGCCCAAAGAGTTTGGTGTGTCTGGTGCATCCAACTGCCTGTACGTTGAGCTTGCCAATGTGTGTGACAAGTGCCTATGTCTTAAGTGTTACGCACTGCGTGTCTATAATTTGTGTCCAGAGGGTTCAGTGACTTTGAAATGGTCCGTTTATCTATAGCACTTGCTTTTTCAAAATGGTGCTTGTCTGGCATAATTGTGTGTTTGAAGGAGTAAATCTGTCTTGGTTATTAGTATGTACAGAGTGGTACATTGGTTTGGGTACACTGTGGTGTTGGCCAGCCTACTGAATTTACCACCGCTACCCACATCCTAAGAAGTTTCAGTCATGGCCTCTTCTTCCAGCTGGCACTGCGACCAAAGGCAAACGTGGTGACCCCACCTGCCACAATTCTGAATCACATACTCAGTGTCCCCATAAAAAAGACGGACATTAATTCTGCCCCTGAGAGCCTCACACTCTCATCCTCTCACTGCACCTCCACCCAGGACTGAAGGCTTCTGCACAAGTGTCGTCCCAGCAGCTCCGTCCCGCCTTTGCATCTACAAATAGTGAGGGCTTGTCTGGGGCTGGCAAACGGGCTTATCCAAAGGGAGTACAGCATCAGTTAATCTGGGTTTCCCATTCAAAGGCTGCCTGACCAGGAGAGCGCATTTATCCTCTCTGAACTCTAGGGACAACAACCACACCACCACCACCACCACCACCACCACCACCACCACCACCACCACCACCACCACCTAACCAGCAGGGTGTTGTAAAGATTCAATTAATCTCAAATTGAATTCAATGAGTCACAACGCACAGTTCCTGAGATCCTTAAGTGCCACCCAGGACAACTAGAGAATAGGGGCTGTTCAGGCACCAGCCAAGTTGGTTTCAGGACGGTGTCAGGACCTCACTTGGGTGCCATGGAATGTTAACCGAAGGTCACTGGCTGCCAAGTCAAATGTCAAAAGAAACTCTCAACTTGGAGTGCAGCGAAGAAGGAAAGTTTAGTGCCAACAGCCCGATGGCAGTACAACACCATGGTAGAAACAGCCTGGCCCTGAGGCTGCGTGGGCACCGTGCCCCACGATGGTCTGTTCCTCTGCTCCCAGGTGGCCCTGGGGCCAGGGCGCGAGCTCTCTCTCTCTCTTTTTTTAAGTTGAATTTACGGGGGTGACAGTTAATAAAATTATGTTTCAGGAGTACAATTCTATAATACACCCTCTGTATATATATACATATACAGATGGGAAAGGGAAAGAGAGGGAGAAAGGGAGGGAGAGCAACATCAATGTGTGGCTGCCTCTCACACGCCCCCTAATGGGGACCTGGCCCGCATGCAACCCAGGCATGTGCCCTGACTGGGAATCGAACCAGTGACAGTAGGGCAGCACTCAATCCACTAAGCCACACCAGCCAGGGCATCATTTGTATATACTGTGCTGGATGTTTACCACCCCAAGTCAAGTCTCCTTCCTTCACCATTTATCTCCCTCTGTGATCTTTTACTTCCCCCCACCCCTCTTTCCCTCTGGGAATCACCATACTGATGTCTATGAGATTTTTTAACCTTAATCCCTTCACCTTTTTCACCCAGCCTCTTTACCTGCTCTCCTCTGACAGCTGTCAGTTTGTTTTCTAAGAGTCTGTTTCTATTTTGTTCATCAGTTTATTTTGTTTATTAGATTCCATGTGTGAGATCATAAGGTATTTGTCTTTCTCTGACTGACTTATTTTATTCAGCATAATATTCTCCAGGTTCATCCATGCTAACCCAAAGGGTAAGATGTTCTTCTGTTTTACAGCTGGGTAGTATTCCATTCAGTTAGGCAGTCCCACTCCGCAATGCCCTGCTCTGCTCTGCTTGGTTCCACCCTGTTCCAGCAAGACGCCGTCCGTGTGTCAGCTCCAGCCGGGGAAGCGCAGTCTTCGCTCTTCATGGAAAGTCTATTCTAAATGCAGGTGGTTCATTTGTTTCTGTCTGCATTCAAATTTTAGGGGTTTTCTCCCATCCTTTATTTAATTTTATTTTTTGAATTTGTAAAACATTAATATACTTCTAGAAGTTAAATCCGTATTTCTGATTAGCAAGCAGATTTCAAAAAACAGGTATGCCACAAAAATTCCTATTCCTCATGCAGTTTCACTGGACGTTTACATCCTCAGAGTATCCACACCCACAGTGACTGATTTCATACAGTAATGACATGAAAAATAAGTTCAAGACTGCTAGGAAAATGGAGTAGCTATACTTTTCCCTATTCTTCCCACTAAATACACCCCAAAAACCTGGACATGATATATGGAATAAACATAAGAAGACACTGAAAGGTGGACAGAAAAGGGCAGTCCAGTTAGGGATCTTGGCACCCAGAGGAACAATATGGCGGTATGCTGCCAAGACCTTAACAGGTGAAGAAGCTGGCAACCCATAAATGTCACTGGGTAAAGACTACAACAACAACAACAACAACAACAACAACAACAATAACAGCCCTGCTCTCTCCAGACAAAGGAGCAGGAAACTGACAGCTTAGCAAGACAGAAAACCTGTAGATGATGACTAGCCTATTCCAGTCAAAGACTATGAAAACCTCCAAAAACAAAAATAAAAACTCTGTGACCCCACCTCCATCCATGAAGTGAAGGTCTAGTGATGAGCCCTGATCTGCAAATCCACTGGAAGAAGGAACTTTTGTCTCCGCCAGGTAAAATTAGCCCTTCCTGCCCACAATGTCAGACCATGGGCTGAGGCAGCCTTTCACCACAGCCCAGTGGTGAGGAGCTCAGCCATCCTCCCATCCCATGGTACCGGTTGACGCCATGTGGGGAGAGTCAGCAAGGACCCAGCAGGACTCCACCACACCGTCAACCAACAAGATCTAATGGACACTACAGAACACTCCATCCAACAACGGCCAAAAACACATTCTTTTAATTTGGACACATACTAAAATAGAACCCATTCTGGGAAATAAAAGTTTTGTTTTTGTTTAAAAAGACTGAAAACATGAAGAGCACTGTCCAACCACAATGGAATCAAACTAGAAAACAGTATCAAAAACGTAACAGAAAAAACCTCCAAACATAGAGTTTAAATGACATACTTCTACTAAATAACCCATGGCATAAAAAGGAAGCCTCAGAAAATTGATAAAAAGAATACATTGAACTGAATGAAAATAAATATAGAACATAACAAAACTTGTGGAATACAATTAAAGTAGTACTGAAAGGGAAATTTATAACACTAAACATACATATTTTATGTTTATGTTTAGAAAATGAAAAATGGCAATTTTCTAAGCTACCACCTCAAGAACCTAGAAAAAGAGTGAAACAAAGTAAGCAGACGATGATAATAAACATAAAAACGGAAATCAATAAAATTGAAAATAGAAAACAATGAAATAAAGAATTCTTTGAAAAAATTGATAAAATCAACAAACTTCTAGGCAACACATAACATAGAAAACACAAATTACCAATGATTAATAATGAAATAGGGGCCATATCACTACAGAGTCTATAGACATCGAAAGCTGTCTAACAAAGGAAAACTAACAACTCGGCATATAGAAACTGGACAACTTAGATGAAATTGACCTAACCCTTAAAGACATAAACTACCAAACTCACACAAGGAGAAACATATAATCTAATTAGCTCTATATCTATAAACAAATTGAATCAATAATAATCTTCCCAAAAGAGAAAGTACCCAGATGTTTTCAGTGGTGAATTTGACAAAAGATTTAAGAAAAAAAAAAATCATCTCTTCCAGAAAATAAAAGATGGGACACTTCCTAACTCACTCTATGAAGCCAGCATTACTCTAACACCAAAATAGATAAAAGTAGGAAAAACTACAGAATAATATCTGTCTTGATGGAAATGTTTGGTATCTTGGTTGTATTAATGTCAATATCCTGTTGTGATACCATATTATAGTTTTGCAAGATGTTATCACTAAGGGAAAATAATACAGAGAGGGTACAGGAGACTGTATTATTTCTTAAAACTGGATATATATATACAGGTATGGCAAAAAGAAGTTTCAATAAAAATTTTGAATAGAGCTATTAACCCTTATAATATCAAATCATTACTGAACTCTAATGTTACTTGTGCTATTTTAAGAAAGCAAGTATTAGTTTTTATTAGAAAAATTTAAAAATCCTTTTAAAACAGCTGTTTGGTTGTAGGTGAAGCTCTCATACAAACTGCAATGACTACGCTGTAAGATTGCTACAGCTGACAGGGAAAAGTGACAGCTGCTGTCAGGGTATACACTAATAAGTTATCATGCTTCACGAATATGTCATTATTGATGAGTTGAAAGATCACACTGGTTTTAATGATGTAAGCCTGCTGGCTTT